GTTATGAACAATTTACAGAGTTCATGCATACCATAGACTTGCCGACAGCCTCAATACTTGTGCGAGTTAGAGCCGAGACGACATCAAAGTCTTTCTGTGTATAAAACAGGGTTACCAGGTTGGACTTTGAATCCAACGCAACAGGGCCATTTGCTAGCTGGTGTAAATAGTTGTTCAGGTTCATCCGCTTCATTTCAGTGTGTTGGAAGGCTTCCTCGATATCATTGGCGGCGTACTCTGCTGTCGTCTTATCGGATGTGATACGGAGGGCGTGATCCGGTTTGTACATGTCGAGTCTGACTCGTCGGGTCCGTCGAATCTTGTCAAACAGGGTGTCTTTGTCTACAGCCAAGTCAGCGTGATCCGCGATTAAGGATGCCTTAGTACGTACCACCAGCCTTAAGCAACATCGCCTGCCACGGTTGCAGAGAAAGCTCCAACTCTCCGGGAGATTCGATTTCTTCCAAGAGTACAAGATTCCAAACATCCCTCATTATGCGATCAACAAGCAGCTGCTTGCTGACGTTCTTGCGGTAGCCCATGATCTTGACAATACGATCAACGCCAGGCAGGCGTTGAGTTATCGGCGTAGTACCTGGCTGCCATTCTGATCGCTCCACAGGTTGCTTCTGGTTTCCTAGTTGGTCCTTCCGTTTGATGCTGTCGATCACTCCCTGATTGACCTTCTCTTGCCGTATATTCTTTGCGACCGAGTAGAAGATTATCAATTGCTGTTGCGTGAAGCCTTTCATGAGCGTCTTTCTCAGCTTGACAAATGTAGTCTGCTTGATGTGATGCGGCTCATTGGGGTCGCCATCGTTATTCGGTCGCAAGGTCTCGATTTGCTTGTATATTTCTTCGGGCGCGAGCGCTTTCCCTTCTTCTTCGATTGAGGCAAGAATGTCTGGGACCTCGAGAGGTTCGGAGATTTCGATTACTTCGGCATCTTCGGAGGCTTCGGTGGTTGTGGTGGCTTCTCTTCGTGCTGGTTCCCCGACTTCCCTCAGGACCAAGATATCGGCATCGTCGCCCAATCGCTTGACGCCCAGATCTTGCGAAGTTTCTCGTAGGATCTTTTCTCCCTTCCTCTTCCTCAAGCGATTGATCGGCGTCACTTGTTTTGTGATCTTCAGAGGCGGTGGTTGCTCGTCTTCAGCATCACCGCGGCGGCGTGCAGACGCAGAAAACCTGGCTCGGGATGGTGGGCGAGGAAAAGCGGGCAGTCGCCGTCGGGCAATTTGCGCTTCACATCGGAGGCATACAAATGCACTCGAGGTCCGGGGCGCAAGCATGAAGGAGGACGAAGCGGGGAAAAAGTGCAATGAGGATGGCAGCGACGGGCTCGGAAAGTGCGATGCGTGCTCCAACTTTCGTGACCGCCCTAATTCTGCCATCGCGCTTTCACGTGTGAGGCGCGTCATAGTGCGACGCCCGCGAGCATTACTTCAGAGTTCAATATTAAATGTAGGAATTTGCATTTCAGTGGCACCTTTTGACCTTCAAGTTGGACGACGCCAGCTGCAAAGATCTTCGCGCAGGTCAAACTCATCTACCTCATGGTGTGGACGATGTCGCTTGCGCGCCGCCTCTGCCTTCATCTGCGATGCCTGCTGCTCCAAACTTCCCCGGCCCCGCACGTTAGGCGAGTGATTCGATTTCATATCTCCAGGGCGCAGCGTCTCATGCGACTTGCGATGAGCGCTGCTGCCGCCGCGCATGTGACCGTGTTCGCTCTCACTCACAGAGCTGCTGCTATCGCCTGCTGCGAATCGCAAGGGCTGAGCTCGTGGCTGCTGGGAGTATGGTTTCTCGCGGTCGCCCCATCCGTCTCCGCCAGCGAATATGTCTTCGATGCATTCGTCTGCCTTGAGCTCGCCAGGTTGTGCGGACCAGTATGCGGCGAGGGTGCGTCTGTACATGTCTTGGAGCTCGCCGGCTTCGCGGGATTTGCTCGTCAGGGAGGGCGCAGCTGTGGGCGTTAGCACGAGTCCCGTGTATAGTTCAGAGTGTCTTACCTCCGTGGTCCTCAAGTTCGGCCTGCTCTCCCGCCATGATACCAGCGATGCCACTGAAGACCTGCGCCGTCTTCAAGGCTGGCGCAACAAAGTTCTTGTCGCCTTCCGTCTGCTTCATGTAGATTCCGACCTTGAGCGTGCTGTTGATCTTGCTGTCTTGCATGAGGTACCTCCGCGTGACGCCTGGTTCCTCGCCCGCGATGGTCGCCATCTCGCTCTGCTCCACGTACTCGGCCAGGTTGAGCTTGACAGTTCCTAACGTGATGCGCTCGCCTCGTCCTGAGCCTCGGCCGTATTCTTGCACGACCTCCAACTCCACATAACACTCCTGCAGCATGCCATTCTTGTCGACGGTGAGGCGGACGGGGAGGGTGATGTCGTAGTTGTAGGCGACTTTATGGTCTTTGACTTGGCAGCTGTCTGTGCGACCGCGGTGCTCGGCGGCCGTCGAGTGGGAGAGGTGCCATTTTATGAATGAGGTGCCAGAAACGAGTGGTACGTTGTTGAGATCGATTATCTGCTGTCGTCAGAGTGTGGTCGTATGCCTGAGTATGGATAGCTCACTCGTAGGTGTAGATCAAATTTTGGCTGCGCAAGTGTCAGCCCGTGTAACTATGGTGTACTGGCGCAGTCTTACTCGTCGGTTCTTGGGTACTGTGATTGTGAGTGTCTGAGTCGCGAATGCGACGGTGCGGCGCACGGCCATTGCTCACCAAACGCTTGCATGTTGAGAAGAGAAGAGGAGGAACAAGGCGATACGGGGAGGTGAAGGAGTCTGGGTCTCACTCGCGCTGAGCGTGTGACAGGGTTCTTTGTGACTGAGTAGCAGGAGCGATGCTCTGCGACTGCGAAGGTAACAATGGACCCTGACGTGCCTGGCTCCCCGGATGCTCCGAGCCCCAACCGCGCCCTCGCTCCTTCACCCACCACCTCGCTTCACTGCCATGGCTGCAGACGCCGACGCAGATGCCATCGCAGACTGCGTGCTCCGGGCCTTTGCTCAGCTACCTGAAAAGCGGAAGCCGAGACCCCGCCACGATGGCGCAAGGGAATGGGTACCCCTCGCCGGAATCGTCTTATCTAAAGGTAATCGCTCACTTGCTTCCGGAAGGAGCTATGCTTGCTTATGCTCATGACCTAGTCAAGGTGGCGCTCTATCATGCGTATCGTTAGGGTGAGCCATTTCCATCAGCCGACCTCCGAGGACTGTCTCTTCAACGGGTATCGTGTAGTCCAGTGATTTACCGGGTGTGACACCACACATACACTTCAGACAGCAGGGGCAAAACGCCCCACTGAGGAAGCGGAGCTCCTGGGTTGCTCTGAACTTAGCATACTCGAACATACTACGATACGACCTGTGAATAAGTCATGGCACCAGCTGAACCTTCCTTAGAACTGGCATGAAATGTCTGCCCTCCAACAAATTACCCCTCGCACACGGCAACATCCTCCACGACTGGCACGCCGAAATCATAGCACTCCGAGCCTTCAACCGATATCTTATAGATGAATGCATTCTCATCTCGACGCCGCCTTATCCGACATCCGACTTCCTTCGGCGGCTGTCGCCCGATGAACATTCCGAAAGTCTACGCCAGCCATTCACCATCCGAGAAGATGTGTCCATTCACATGTATTGCTCTGAAGCTCCCTGTGGAGATGCCAGTATGGAGCTCACCATGGCTGCGCAGGAAGATGCAACGCCGTGGACTAGTGCACCACCAACTCTATCTACCGCATCTGATGCAGTTGACCAAGTAGAGACTTTGGCTCTTCGAGGTCGATCGAACTTCTCTCTTCTAGGCATTGTCCGCGCAAAGCCTTCGCGACCTGATGCCCCGCCTACACTGAGCAAATCTTGCACCGACAAACTGGCAGTCAAACAAGCTACCTCCTTGCTGTCATCTACGTCATCTCTACTAATCAGTCCTCGGAATGCTTACTTGGAAACTTTGGTTCTACCAGACTCCCAATACGTACCACAAGCATGCGAGCGGGCCTTTTCCTCCTCAGGTCGACTCAAGAGTCTTGACCCAAAGCATACCACGGAGTGGAAAGGCGGCTATCGATTCCAATCGTTCAATATCCTTCCAACAAACCGCGAGTTTACGTGGTCGCGCCGCGCATTATCTGCTACCGAAAAAGCCGTGCCGAGTAATCTCTCTGCTGTGTGGACGCCAGGCTGGCAGGAGACTTTGATTGGCGGTGTGCTGCAGGGTCGGAAACAACTAGACCCTCGGGGAGCAAGTAGGATATGTCGGAAAGGACTATGGATGGAAGCTGTTCGTCTAGCAGGATTACTTGGTGGAGCGGTGACGGCTACTGAGGCTCTTCGCAAGAAGAAGTATGCGGACCTGAAAAAGTCTGAAGGGCTGGAAGAGAGACTCAAAGTCAAAGATGACATACGCAAAGCACTGAAGGGATGGGTAAGAAATACTGGTGACGATCACTTCTCCCTAGAAGCCTCTGCATCAGCATCCTAGATTCATATTTTGACATTGAACACACTTCAAATATCTCTGATACCATCTTTGCTCTCACGAAAAGTACCCCACGCACCAGTCCTTCCTCCCCAGCGATCACTCACTACCTCCAGCACGCTCACCATCTCAACCCCTCGCTTCGTCCCTTTCCCGCCAGGATCACTGTAGTACACTTTCGCGTCCATCTTCCGTTTTGGTAGCCGACTCACCAACACCTCCATATCCACGTACCGCCCCAGTAAATCAACAAGATTCGGTACGACGTCGTTACTCGCGAAGATGGAAGGTGGAAGAGGGGGCTCTCGCCGCTGTTGCGGAGGCAGAGGACCTAGCTGATTTTGTGGCACAGCGCGTTTAGGTGAAGAAGCGCGTGGAGGGAGGGCTGGGTTTATGAGGAGAGTGTGGAGTGCGTGGACTTGTGTGAGGTTTGAGAGCGTTGTGAGGAAGGTGGCTGCCACTGTATTTGCTGGGAGTGGTCAGTCAATGTTGGATCTGGGGTTTAATGATAGATACCTTGTACATAGTCTTTCTTCAACAAAGGATTGAGGACTTGAGCGAGGTTGTCGATCAGGATTATTTTTATGGGTCCCGGTTCAATCTCTGCATTTGTGTCTTCTGATGCTTCGATTCGGATCGGCTCTGGGTTCTGTACAGGCTGCGCTACTATGTCGGTAACGTCTGAATCGAACAGCATCTCCTCGTCCTCTTCTTCGTCTTCGCTATCCGCGACATAAGTTCGTTTCAATGGCACTTTCTCGGTAGGCGGCTCCTTCTGCGCAGGCTCCTCAGCGGGCAGGATCCCTTCCTTCTCTTCGTTATTTGAAGCACGTTCAACACCCTTCTTCTTTTCGATCCCATCCCGGATCTCACCAATGGCCTCTCTCACACCCACGAAATCGAAAACACGCATTATCTTGACACGGTCGAGTACCTTTGCTGCCAGATCCTCAGTCGGATTTTCAAGCGCCTGGTTTAGTGAGGTACGTAAGGACGTTTGGATATCTGGTAGTCGTGACAGTTGAGCGACGATCATGGTGTAAAGTCGCAGTACATCGAAGTTGCCAGTAGTATCAACAACAGCAGCCGTCGAGTTTTCGTATTGAAGAAGGGAGCTCGCAAGCAGGGTACAGCAGATCTAAAAGTGTTAGTATTTAGTCCGTTCATCTTCGGACTTCTTCGCAATGTGTTGTTGCTTGACATCCACAATGGGAGTACTCACCTCACTCCCACCCGCCCCAGCTTCTCCACTGACTCCTACAATCCTTCCGCTCTGTATGCCACCACCGAAAGCATCGTCTAAGCTCTTGACTCCGGTTTGTAGTACGTTCCCTCCAACCCCATTTTGGTGCTGAAGATTGACATTGCACACGCTCTCGAGCAGCTCATCAAGGTCTTGGTCGCCGATTAATTGGGATGCGAGCAACGGCTCTGCGGGTCTTGTTGATATACTCAACCTATCAAGAGCTAGTTGAGCGGCAGCCATATCGCTATTTGGTGTATGATGGTGAGGCACGGAACTGTGAGTGTAATGGTGCAGCCTTGTCGGGACCGCATTCGGAAAGAGAAGCGCTAGCGCGAGATGAAATAGAGGAAGATGCAACCTTTGTTGAAAACGTACAATTATACTGTTCATCCACTTGGACATAAATCGACAGACAGCGAAAACGATGTGGCTACCAGAATCACGTGCATGTAGGAATCTCTGCAACATTACCCGATACTAGACCCATCGCTGTCTCGACGTGCCAGGTCTTGATCAAAGAAGAGCAGCACCTGCACTTCCATTCTTCTTCACGTCAAATAACCAAGTGATGCATCCACCTCATGTACTAGCTCTACAAAATTCGGAGCCTATACATGCTCAACCCAAACCTGAGGCATCAATCAACGCCTATCAGCCCGCAGATACGTATCGCAGCTAACCTCTTCCACAGCAACGCACCACCCAATCGACTAGCCGACACTAGGCAAATATCTCGCCGAAACGTGGCACCGAAGATCTTACTGGAGAAACACGGTGGTGGCTTGCGATCCAAACTTCCGCGCCGCCGATCTTAGTGCTGGCGTCGTGGCGTGCGGCTGAGAGCATTGATGTCGGCGATAAATCCTCAGGTCATGTGCCAGGGGCAACGCAGCTGCGGTATCGAGGTCCGCCCCTCAAGGATTGGGCAGTAAGCTCGGGTGGGGGTTTCTTGGGCGACAGGAACGCGTCAAGGACGATCCTAGCGGGTGCCAGGAACAATCGGATGCCCCTGAACATCGAGCGGGTCTAGATGGCGATCAACGGAGGCAAATAAACGGCATCACATGTGTAGAGTTCCAATGGTATGGTATCTTAATGTTTGCAAATTTTGATTCCTAGCTACAGATTCTACGCCTCGCATCCCCGAAGTATCGCAAACTTGATGTGTTATAAGAGCTATGCAAGTAGCCCAATTTCTGCGCATTGAAAGGAAAAAGTGACTCGATTGAAAAAATTGAAGCTGGTGGTTTGAAGAAGGGAGAGCCTTCTTTATCTTGTTGAAGCGTGCCTGAGTTCTGTTACACATGAGTGGTATCCAGACCTCGTGCTTTCAAGCCCCAACGACTCCAGCGCCAGACGGAAGGAAAGTGTATGTCCCGAAGGGAGGTTTGTGACGATAGGAGAAATAAGCTGGCTGCAGTCGTCGCCGTGGCGCGATGTACATCGTGTCTTTTATGTCCTTCGAGATGGACTTGAGCCGCTCAGAGAGAAGATGAGTGAAGTGGTCGAATCATTTCAACCATGCCTGTGACTTCTCAAGCGGGACGTCGACGTCCGCCCTTGAGAGACTTGACGCGGTTGAGGAACCCACCGCTGGGCTTGGCCTCGCCTGTGGGAGATCCTACGCTGTCGGTGGTGATGGATCGTTGCAGCGCAGCGCCCCGAGGTGGTGAAGCTCCGCCCTCGTTGGTCTTGATGGCTGCGCCCTTGGCGTCGTAGGCCTTGTCGTAGTCGTCGCTGAAAAATGGGTTCTGCTCTGCGGCCTTGGTCTGCGAGATGGCTCCGGCGCTGTAAGGGCCGCTTGGGCTGGTGGCAGCTCCGTAACGTGCCTCGGGCGAAGTGATGCGTGGGCCGTCACCGTAACGACGGGGCTGAGAGATACCGCGGAATCGCTGGGCGATGGACTTCTTGCGACCGAGACCGCCATCAGCTAGTTGTTTCTGCCTTTGAGCATCGGACTCTTCTTGGATCGCTTTGCGGGAAGCCGGGGCGCCCTCGAGGAAGGTGGATGTTCCAAGACCATGGGTCTGCTCGCCGTGTACAATGTCTTCTCGGCCCTTTGCGCTGAACTCTGCGGCCACTGGGGCTGGCTTCTTCCACTCGGTCTCGGCACCGGCAAAGTCGGTGAAGCCCTCGGCACCCCTGCCATGGATCCTGTCCAGATCGATCTTTGTGTTCAGAGGTCCAGAGCCACCCAGAGTGTTGTTGGCTGAACCGACGGGGAAAGCATGCATGGGTGCGCGCTGGTCCTTCTTACGGTTGCGGTGGGGTTGCACAGCGTCGTACGGTCCATCGTGGTGGATCATGCTAGGTCCGTAGATGCCAGTCACATCGAGTTTGTCAATGAGATCAAGTCCCTGCGGCCTGCGGACCTTCTTGCCGCCAGACTTGCTGTCCTTGCCGTCTCTGGCACGCTCTTCGCGCTCCTTGCGGCGCTCCCTGCGCCTGCGCTCTTCACGCGGGTCGAGCGAGCCTCGGTCGATAATGGAGGATTCGGAGTTGCGTCGGGGACGGCGGTTCTCGCGGCGTTCAGGGCTGTTGAGCTGGGGAGGGCGCGACGAGCTGGGAGGTCCACGTGGTCGAGAGCCTCCGCGAGAAGCTTCCCGCATGCGCTGTCTCTCCTCTTCGGAGCGCGAGGGACGGTGGCCTGCACGGGGGTCGGTGCCGCTGCGAGCAGGAGCAGGTCGTGGCGGGGGAGCTCGTTTCTTATCGGTGTCGTCGATGGTGAGGTTGGCCTGGGTGAGGGCAGGATAGTCAGCAAACTGCATCACAAAGCGCCTGAAGCGGTCCATGTTCATGGCTCAATGGCGGTGGTGTAGCTAGAGGCTGCACCGCATTTTACTACAGCGTGCAGCGTGCGCGGCTTGCACGACGTGACGGCGCTGGCAGCCGTCACGGCACGGGCGATTGGCCTGCAAGGGGGAGGAACGTACAAAGAGCTCTTCGGCGGCAAAGCCAAAGTTTGATTTCTTGGGGGAGTCCTTCATGGTGGCCGACATGTCAACGAGGTCTCTGGATGCCTCCTTGTTAAACTCGGCCTCGAAGGTAGATATAAAGGGATTGCGCGACATTGGTCTGCTGCCCGAGCTCGAGCGGTTGGCACTGGCGGGCGAGGGGAAACCGGGAGAGGCAGCGCGGCGGAAGGGGTTGTTGGAGGAGAGGTTGAGCTGCAGGCCTGGCGAGGGTCGCCTTTCTGTAGATAAGCAATATGATCAGCGGCGCGTCCTATTTCGTCACAGCCCAAGTCTCGGTGAAACAGGCAAATTCAGGAGCAGCCTTACCTGGCATTGACGGCTCTGCAAACATGATGCCGTCTGCTGCTCACAACCCTGCTGGGCGGCCCAATCAAACACTGGCGCCGCGGGAGACGACAGGCGTGCTTTGTGCAACTGCTGGCTGGTGACGCACGGCGGGCAATCCTGTTCCTGCGCGCCTCGCCTACGGCAGAAGCAGCAATAGGGGCGCGGATTTGCTAAGACTGGCGGTACCGATGCTGCTGTGTTTCGCGCTGAGGATAGACGGGCCCCGTTGGCGGGCAGGCGACAGGCGGGCGGGGCGCGTGTTTGATGGGCTGGTGTTTGAGGCCCGTTAGTAGTCTATGCAACGCCTATGGAATACAGGACAGCAATGCGCGGGGGCTGGGCGTGGGTGGAGTGGTGACGGTGAGGGAGGAAAGCAAAAGCAGGTGATGGCAATGGCAATGGCAATGGCAGTGATTAATGCACAGGAGGCAGGAGGCGGGAGCAGAGGGAGGTGTAGGCAAGCGCGGCCTAGCTAGGCTTTTAGAGGGCGCTGGGCTGGGCCTCGTGTTTACCGCAACCGCAAAACCGTGGGTGCGTGGTTCCGTGGCGCCGTCTGTCTGTGATTCGAGCGCCCGATCACGAGCTTCCCAGAACGCTCCTGGGCAGCCACTTTGGTCCGGAAAAGACTGTCTAGACGGCAACTCAGGGTGCCAATCCGCTACGCTGTGGGGTCAAGGCCCGAGCTGCACGTGCACGGCAGCGCAGGGGCATTGGACATCGATGTACATCGCTTTTGGCTGCGCTGGACGCCCTCTGCTTGTGTCGGCCGCCTGCAGAGTGCGCGCGCAGAGCATGATACACGTCTGGTAGAGGCCGCCTCAACGAATCCCAAAACACCGCCTCTCCGTAGCCAGCGCCAACAACTATCTCCATCACTGCGTACATCCCACCGCCATCGTCGACGACAAGCTCATCAACCCTGCCGTCCTTGCACCTGTTTGTGCAAGTGCGTGATCCTTAGCCCGCCTCATCTACCCAACTGGATTAGCTGCCGACTCTACACAACCTGGCAATTGCGGGGAAGACCCTGAACTGCTTTTCTTCAGCCTCAGCGTGACCTGCAAGCGCCGCTCCCATCGCGACTCTGCACCGTCAGCTGTCAAACGTCCGAGACTCCAGCCATGGCTCACGAGACGGCGCAACATGTCCCGGGCGTGGGAGGCTACTCGCGCTTTGAGCTCGAGCTCGAGGTCCGCAATTCCCCTATACTGCGTCGTCATTAGCCCCTGTTTGACCTTCATTAACACGCGCCTAGTTTGTCCAGTGCCTTGCCAATCCCGTCTATCTCAACTACCTGGCCCAGCAAAAGACGCTCGACAAGCCCGAATTTGTCGCATACCTCGGCTACCTGCAGTACTTCAAAGACCCAAAGTACACCAGATTCTTGCAGTATGTTCGCCGCCCCTCACACCGCCTGCTTACTGACCCGTCGGCGCAGTCACCCCGGCCCCACGCTGCGTGCACTTGAATTGCTGCAGCAGGAGCGCTTCCGCCAGGACATTCTAGCCCCAGGCCTCATGGACAGGCTCGTCATCGAGGGCCAGCGGAACGCCGTGCCCCCAGCGAAGAAAGAGTGAGCCGTGCCAAGCCAAAACATTGTCGATCATCGCGAGTTCGCTTGGTCACTGCCAAGATCTCCGACGATGCCGATATTCCCAGCCCCGGGGGCAGCTGAGAACAACGAGCCAAGTTTGGTTCGATAGGCCAGAGCTCGTTCTCGTTCCTGTTGCATCCCTCGTACGAGTAGTCTACGCCACACGGCGTATGCGACTTCCCGCGCCGCCATTGGCATTCAGCCGGAGATGCTGCATCGTAAACTAAATCGTTCTCTTATCCACATACGATCCCGTTCTTAGCGAACGTAGCGTGCGATGCGTTTAGAAAATCTAGAAACTTACCACGAACGAAGCTATTGACTGTGTTAGACGCTATCGTCCG